GCCAGGAGTCGCTGATAGGGTCCACAGAGATGATTTGGGATCAGAACTCTTGATGTCACAGGGCAGACGTGCCCCTCAAGTAACTGTGCACACTCCCCAAACAGCAGAGGGCTCAGCCATGGGCTGGGAGAGCTTCACGGGGAGGTGGTGTCTGAGTGGACCCGGCAGCACTGCATAGACTCCAGCGTCAGAAAAACCCACATTTAGGGACTTCCTGGTGGTCCTGTGGTTACGACTGAGCTTCCAGTGCAGGGGGCTCAGATTTGATCCCTGGCCAGGGAACTAAGATCCCACATGCCAGCATGGGTCAAAAATAAAAAAAGAGAAAGACCCAAGTTTAAGTACATCTTTGGCTCCTCTGGCTGGTCTTGGGCAAATATGTCACCTCTCTGATCTTCCATTTCCTCAGCAGTAAAAACGATGATCATTGCACCTGCCACCTAGTGTTGTTGGGTTAGTTGCTCAGTCGTGTCCAACTCTTTGTGACCCCATGGACTGTACCCCTCCAGGCTCCTCTGTCTGTGGAATTCTCCAGGCAAGAATACTGGAGTGGATTGCCATTCCCTTCTCCAGGGGATCGTCCTGACCCAGGGATCTGAACCTGGGTCTCTCACATTGCAGGCAGATTCTTTACCATCTGCGCCACCAGGGAAGCCTACATAGGGTTGTGGTGAGCCTTACCCGACAGAATCCATGTAGAAGGCTCAGGGTAAGTAGCTGTGGGGTAGAGAGGGTGTTGGGGGAGGGGGAGGGACGAGAAGGATGACAATGGTGATTATCTCAATTGTCCCCCACCCATCTTTAAATTATCCTGCCCTCTGGAGTCTGAACCCGTCAATTCAACAGCTCGTGCAGTCCTAGCACTTGCAGACTTTACAAAGTGCTCCACCTGGCATCATCTTATGGGAGCTTCCTGACAGCCGTGTGAGGTCAAGAGAAGGGAAATTCTCAGTATCTTCACTTTACAGATGAGCAAACTGGAGCTCAGAGAGGGTGAGTGACAGCCCTTAGGTCACACAGCTAGAAAGTGGTGGCACTGAAACAACAGTCAGATCTTCTCTCCGCCTTGTGGCCCCTTTGCAGTGTGCCTCTAGAGAGGGGAATCAGAGGAGTCCATGGTTTGCGGGGCACACGCTTTCCTGTAAGACCAGGGGCGAACGCTTTCCTGTAAGACCAGGGTCCTGGCGGAGAAACACTTAACCCCCTAGTCACCGAGAGCGAGCCCCGCCCCTCCCTCCCAGGGTGAAAGCTGGCCCTCTGCTGAACGGAGCCACCAGGGGGCGCTGTGCTCAGCCCGGGTTCGGGGAAATGAACGCTGCCGGGCATTAGGCTGCACACTGGGGCACGTCTAAGGCAGGAAGCAGAGTGAGGCTTCAAGGGCAGGCTAGGGAGTGAGGAGCATGTGTCCTGCCGACACCAGAGACTCAGTTTCATCCGGGCTCCTGCACCTGCTAGGACAGATCCAACCCCAGAAAGGAGATTGCAAAAGCACAGTGAGTCATTGTCCAGCAAACATTCATTAGACCAGGTCCTCACCCCTCTCGGGGCTGGTGAGGAGAGTCTTGTGGGCTGTTGGCACCAAGAACTGGGGACCCACAGCACACCAGGCCCAGTTCTCCAGGCCTCACCGGGGCTATCTCAGTCCTCTCAACAACCCTTCAGGTATTTAGTCCTATTTAGCCATGAGGAAACTGAGGGTCAGAGGGGTTATGACACCGGTTTAAGGTCCCACAGCTAGACAGCAGCACAAGTTCATCTATCCAAAGCTCATGGCCCTGCCATCCTCTGAGCTGCTGGGAGAGTCAGACCACGAGGGCTGGTTTTATGAACCAAGCTGACGGGGCTACAGGTGCCCAGACATTTGGCCGAACATTATTCTGGTGTGTCTGTGAGGGTGTTTCTGGGTGAGATTAACGCTTGAAACAGTTGACTGAATGAAGCAGTTTGCCCTCTCCAATGTGGATGGGCCTCACCTAATCGGTTGAGGGTCCGGATAGCCCAAAAGGGTGACATAAGGGAGAATTCACTTCAAGGTGGCTCAGGGGGAAAGAATCCGCCAGCCAATGCAGGAGATGCTGGTTTGATCCCTGGGTGGGGAAGATCTCTGGAGAGGGAATGGCAACCCACTCCAGTATTCTTGCCTGGAAAATTCCATGGACAGAGGAGTCTGGTGGGCTGCAGTCCATGGGTTTGCAAAGAGTCAGACATGACTGAGTGCACATGCATGCACAAGGGAGCATTCACTCTCTGCCTGTCTTCGAGCTGGGACATAGGTCTTTTCCTGCCTTTGGACTCAATACAGTCTAGAACGTCCACCATCAACTCTCCTAGACTTGGACTGTAACTAGCCATTCCATCAGTTCACCTGGGCCTCCGGCTTGCTGGCTGCAGAACTTGGAACTTCTCAGCCTCCATGATCTAGTGAGCCAGTTCCTTTTAATACATCAATTCTTCTTCCTCTGTATCCTAAAGGTTCTGTTTCTCTGGAGAACTCTAATGCAAAGACTTGTTCCTTGGGCTTCCAGGAACAAGTCGGCTGCATGTTTGGCTGTGGAATGCCCAGCTACCAGAGGCCCTATCTCTGAATGTCTAGAACAATCATCCGATTTGGTCCAAAAGTCGCCTTGTTCTCAACACCCCAACAGGAAGCCTGGCAGGGAGGGGACCTGCCTGGCCAAATGAGCAGAGCCAAGTAGCAGAAACCTTGGCTTTCTCTTTCTTTCTTTTCTTTTCTTTTCTTTTTTTTTTTTTAATGCTGAAACAGTTCCTAAGTACTCAGGAAGAAGTGTGTCAACTCTCCAGCACCCCATTATAAACAGCAATACTTTCTGTGTCCACTAGATGGGGCCAGTGGCACAGCAGAAAGGGCAGAAAGGCAACTCAGGAGAGAAGGTAGGCAGGCAGGGGGGTGCATGGGGCTGGAATCTTCGGTTGGGATCTCCAAGTTGGATTAATGCTCCCAACTCTATCTTGTATCATTTCTAGCCAATGGTGCAAAAGTTAATCCTGGGGTTCCCAAGCACTTTGGTCAGTTTTCACTGTAGCATCTCTTGGATTTTAGTCCTCAAACCCAGTTTTTCTCTTGTGAGTCACCAAGCAAAGGGGGCAGTATTGTGGCAAAGGAAGCCCTTGCCCTGAAGCCCCAGGGCTCCAGGCAGGGGCATCTCCTTGTCACGCCTGGGATCTGTTTCACTAGAGAAAGCACCTGAGTACCTTTCACCAGGGCATCTAAAAACTGATGGACAAACATTCCTGCAAAGTGGTCATGTGAAAAGGGAAGGAGACAAGACAGGAAGTAAGGAGGAAGGCAGAGAGGGGAAAGGAAATGGCTTTTCTCTCCAGCAAGAGGTTCTAATCTGGCCACACGTTCTCAGCTCTCAGCCAGCATTCCTGGTGCTGGGTTGAGTCCTGAAGTGAATCTTTCTGTGCCTGCTCACAGGGGCAATGCTGGACACTCCCCGGGATGTCTCTAAGCCCTGATGTGGTCAGAGACCTAAAGGCAGTCGGAAAGGAGGAGTTTTCACCTTGCTTCCCCTGCTTGGAGTCAGTTCAGGTCCCAGAGCACCCTCTCCTCCATCAGTAACAAATCCTGCCCTGCAGGTTCACGATGGCTGTCTCTCACCTGCCACCCTTCCTAAGAACCACAGGACAACATACCAGAATGCTGGCTGTGGGGGGCCTGAGCCTGACCAACACCCTTGCCCATCATCTCCTCCTCCCCCTGCCCCCCATCCGCCACCACCCCTTTCCAAACCTGTACTGCCTGGCAGCTGAGACTTCTGCCTAGGCCTCTGTTGCCATGGCAACAATGTGGCTTCCCCCAAATGGGAAGCTGGTTGCCAAGGCCCTTGTTGCCAAAGGCTATAACAGCCACCCTGGTGTGTGAAGAGGGGGTGAGAGCTCTCTGCAGGGGTGGAGGGTGGCCGAGGAGGTTGGGAGGAAGGGAAGCAGGGGTTTCTCAAGAAATGGTAGAGTCCAGGCAGCCTCCCGGCTGGGGCGAGGAGCACTGGGCCCTGAAGGAGAGAAACAAGTATCTCCTGGCATCTCAGCGACTGCTCCTCAAAGGTATTAGAGGGAAGAAAGGGGACCCCCTACAAAACACAGCCAGATAGGCCCCCTACCAAGTAGGACCGAGCAATCCAAGCCCCCCTGGGCAGAAGAAGAAATGGTTTTGATTCTTCCCAATTTCAGAAGAACAGCCCCCAGGAACCCCTCTGTCTCACTTCTCTTGTGTATCAGACACACGCACAAGCTGGGTCCAGACAAAGCCGGTCCCCATGGCCACGAACAGCATTAACTACCAGGATTGCACACCTCTACATGTCTTATCCCCAGCCTGTCTCAGAGCCCATCCTCAGTACTGCTCGTGAAACACTTCTCTCTGGAGCAGAGCTCTCACCAGTGGACAAGAGGGAAGGAGGACACCATGAGGGCTCATCCCCTTCCAGAGTCAGCAGAGGAGGGCTGGACGGGGCCAGGGTCCTCAGGGAATACTACAGAGGCTGCTCACCGCCCTGCACCCACGGCTGGCACCCAGGCCAGCTTCGGTTTGCTGAGCCGGTGTCTGTGCCCTTTACAGACTTTAGGTCCCGTATGCAGTCAGTGCCCGACCCGGGCCCAGAGAGGAGAGCCTGTTCCCTCCACGAGGCCCCATCCTGCTAGAGAGGAGCTGAGAGAGAAGGTTGAAAGAGGAGGTGAAGGGCCCAGGAGGCAGGGGGAAGCAGACGGCTGGCAGAGAGGCAGGGACATGTGCAGGAGTGGCACAGAGAGCAGCAGGTGGCAGCGGGAGGCGAGGGGTGATGGTGGAGGGCTAGTCTGAGCACCCAGGACCAGAATGAGATGCCCAAGGGCACCAAGAACAGCCAGGCCCCAGTTTCCCAAGTCCAGCACCCCAGGAGCATCCCAAGCAGAGCCTGGCCCATGGCACCCAGGCCTGCCTACCCCACCTCCCCTCAAAACCTCCTCTTCCCCAACCTGGAAGGAGAAGCAGGGGTACCTACCCCAGGTGCCAGCCCCTCGGGTGGAGTGGGGGAGATGCTGTCCCCGCCGCCCTGGCTCCGGGCGCTGAGCTGTGGCGACATGGTGGGCGACTCGTCGATGTACGGCATGGTCTCCGAGCCCTCCGGGGGCCCCTTCTGCTCCTCATTCCCCTCTGCGTCGTAGTCGTCCGCCCCGTAGCTGAAGTCTGAGACAAGGAACAAGAAAGGCCACTGAGAGTCCTCCACCAGGGCTGCCAGGGACTGGTAGCGCAGTGGGCGGCGGCGGCGGCCCCCGGCTGCCATGGCCCCGGCCCCACCATCCACGCCCGGCCCGGGCAGGACTGCGTGGCCCGGGACGCGGGCGGGACGCGGGCAGGCACGGCGCGCTGCGGTTCAGGGACCGCGGGGAGTCCAGGGGGGGCGGCTCTGTGGTTGCCACCCGCTTAATAACATGTCAGTCGCGTACTTCGAGCTGCTGTTTCCTTTGCCTCCTGCCTAATTCCAAGTCTAAAAATTAACAGTGGGAGCAGGAGGCAGGACGCTTCCAACTCTCCCCTCTGAGTCACCATTTTGCTTTTTATAGGGAGCAGGGAGGTGGGGGCGGGCCGAGCGATGTCACTTCCTGCGGCCCTCCTCCTTGGGGACCATTGTACACGGAGCCCCATCCCTGGCTGGTGGGGAGCAGGGCCGGGTTCGGGGGGGTGGGTGGCTGAGGAAGGGCCCCTCTGAACAAGGCTCCGCGCAGGTCGGAGCCCAAGGCTGGCAGAACGTGGGCGAGAAGGCGGCCCGGGCCTGGCAGGGACCTGGGGGAACAGCAGAGTCCTCAAAAGCCGGCACTTATTTCTGTAATTTCCACGGAGGCTTCCTTCGGAGAAGGAGGGCAGAGAAGGCCGTAGGGAAGTCAGGCTGCCGTTAACCCTGCTGGCGCTGCCAGCACCACTCGGAGGCCAGAGCCCACGCACAGACACACCCTCCCGGGGACAGCAGGCCGGGTCCATGGGCAGCAGGGACAGGACAGCACCTCAGAAAGGCCTCCACCCGACTCCATCGGTGTGGGGGGGGGTCTCACCTGCAGCGGCCTGCGGGACCCTCCTCCACCCCCACCCCTGGCGCGGTCTGTCCCATCACCCGCTCGGACATCGCTTCCTCCAGGGTGCCCTCCCTGCTGTCCCAGGTCGGAACTGCTACAGCGTGTGGCCTTCCAGCGCCCCTGGTGATCCTGCCCATCTGTCCTTGAAGCCCTGGGGTGGGGACTGGGTGTCGCCCTCGCCGAGGGCCCAGCACTCATGGCCGACACGCAGCGGGGCCTTGGGAACGTGTGCAGAGAGTGACTGGGCAGAGGAATGCACTGTGCCGCTCGGGTCCAAGGCTTGAGCCAACTTCTCGGCGGGGGCCCTGGCTCCTGCGCGGTCACAACACGCGGGCCCCCGGGGCAGCCGGCAGCCTGAGAATGGTGTCAATGGGTCACCAGGGTGCCCGGCCACGGCCACACTCAGTCCAATCTGGCCCTTTGGCAGCTGAGGCCGCCCCCCAGCCCCCCCACGGCCTCACTGCACCTGTTCCTGCCGACTTCCTCTCCTGTGCCGTCGGCCCATTAAGCTGTCAGGGCCGTGAGCTATTATTTTTTTCCCAGGACACGGGCACATGAAGAACCAGAGGACCTAGTGACCCAGCTGCCGAGATATGTGTGCCTTGCACGCGGGAAATGGGACCCACTGATGGGGGCACGCAGGAATTCTGCTGTTTCCAGGGGCCGAGAGGGAGGAAGAAAAGCCACAGAATTCAGCCTGCCCGAGTCTGGCACTGTGAAGGGGCCTGGCTGTTTGGTGAGACCTACTCACTCTGGAGAAGCAGAAGGGAATGAAAGGCCACAGGGCCCCATCTGCCCTCCAGGAGGCTCCAGGCTGCCCTGTTAGTGCCTGGAGTCAGGTCAGGGATGTGAGCTACGGTGAACCCTGCTCTGGCCAACAGTTCAGGCTCCAGCAGGCCACCCTGATTCTCCTCTACGCTGGACCAATTCCCAGGGGTCACAGGACCAGCGCCTTCACTCTCAGGACATTTCCCCAGGGCAAGGGTAGAAGGGCCACAGGGAGGGTGGTGAGACTGGACTCTACTGCACAGTCTGGAACTGCCTGGGTCATGGCAAGGTGGGAAGTTTGCTGCCAGCTTCCCCAATGTGTGCCCAATTCATCCTTAAGAGTGGGGGCCGTGGACCGCAGCTCAGCCCAGCCACATCGGTGAAGCTGCTCTCACTACCCCCAGGTCACAAGACAGAGTCTCTGAGTCTCAGAGAGCTTTGCACAGAAAGGATCTCAACCCAAGTCTGTCTGTCTCCAAATGCCATCTTTCCCCTTCTGAATCTTGTTACTTTCTAGAGGAATCTCTTTCCATCAGTACAAGGATTGGAGAAGAAGCCCTGCTTGTCAGGGGAGGCTGACCAAAGAGGCGAGGGGAGAGTCCCAGCCACAGCAACGGGGATGCCCAGGGGTGGAAGAGAATGTCCGTAGAGCTCTCTGCAAATTCTCCTGGATACTGCCCCTTTCATTTCATACTCCAGGAGACCCCGACAGCCCAGAAAGCCAACCAGAGACCCTTGAAACTCATACCAGAAAAGAAAGACCTACAGAAAAGATAGAGGCACCACCCCTTCGAGAAAGAAGGAGCCCTAGGAACTTGGAGGATGTAAATCTGCCGAGCACAGCCTTCAGTCTGTGTAGGTCCCCAGATAGGAAGGCTGAGTGGACATGGCTAGGCCACCAGGTGTCAAAAGAGGGAGAAGGGGATTTCCCTGATGGTCCAGTGGCTAAGACTCTGCACTCCCAATGCAGGGGGCCCAAGTTCCATCCCTGGTCAGGGAACTAGATCCCACATGCTGCAACTAAGAGTTCGCATGCCACAACTAAAGATCCTGCAAGCTGCAATGAAGATCAAAGATCCCGTGTGCCACCACTAAGATCTGGTGCAAAATAAATAAATACTGTAAAAAAGAGAGAGAGAAGGTAGAAGAGGCTACTGACAGCCAATATTCATTTCCCTTCCTAGTATCAGAAATCTTAGTATCTGTAGAGTGGCAATGTGCTCAGTGGCTGCTCTGCCAGGTGGTACAGGGTATGTGATGAAGTTCTGGCCAACAAGTATTAAGTGGATATGTGCAGAACTTTGAGGAAAGTTTCTTAGATTGTTTCAGCTGCAATGTATTTTTCCCCTCTCTTCATGCTTCCTCCTTCTGTTACCAGTTTGGAAAGCAGATAGGATAGCTGGAGCTCCAGCAGCCATACTGAACCATGAGGTGACCTTGAGGATAAAAGCCAGTACTGAATATAGCTGAGCACAAAGCTAGGAGCCTAGGCCAGTGATGGCACTGTGAGCCAACATACCACCCCAGGACTGTCTATCTCTGGACTTCTTCTACATGAGAGAAGAAAAATGCCTGTTATTTAAGTCACTGTTATTTAGTTTTTATGTTATATGTAGTCAAACCTAATTATAACTGATCCAGATGGTTTTCCTTGACATTCTCTCTGGGTGCTTTTCCTACTGCCTTCACTGTTCCTTCTAGTATCCTTGGTAGAATCCTCTTTCTCTGTCCACCCCTTAAAAAATTCCTTTTCTTTTCTTTTCTTTTGGCCGCACCTTTGGCTTGTGGGCTCTTTGGTCCCCAACCAAAGATTGAATCCATGCCCCCTGCAGTGGGAGTGCTGAGTCCTAAACACTGGACCACCAGGGAATTCCCCCAAATTGTTATTCCTACACATCTTTACAGGCTTCCCTGATGGCTCAGTAGTAAAGAATCTGCCTGCCAATGCAGGAGACATGGGTTTGATCCCTGGGTCGGGAAGATCCTCTGGAGAAGGAGGTGGCAACCCACTTCAGCATTCTTGACTGGGCAATCCCATGGACAGAGGAGCCTGGCAGGCAACAGTCCATGGTGTCCCAAAGAGTCAGACACAACTTAGTGACTAAACCACACATCTTCATAATAGAATACTGCTCAGCAATAAAGGCTTCCCTGTGGCTCAGCTGGTAAAGAATCTGCCTGCAATGCGGGAGACCTGCGTTTGATCCCAGGGCTGGGAAGATCCCCTGGAGAAGGGAAAGGCTACCCACTCCAGTATTCTGGCCTGGAGAATTCCATGGGGTCGCAGAGAGTCAGACATGACTGAGCGACTTTCACTCAGCAATAAAAGGGACAAGCTACTGAGACACAAAGAAATGACTCTTTACAGGCATTATGCTAAGTGAAAGAAGCCAGATACAAAGGAACACATCTTGTATGGCTCCACTTACATGAAGTTCTAGAACAGACAAAACTAATTTATGCTTGAAAAAAAATGAAAATAGCAGTTGCTTGTAGGGGTCAGGTGGGGACAGGAGTTGACTGGAAGGAGCACAGGGAATTTTCTAGGGAGATGGAAATGTATCTTGACAGGGATATGTGGGTATACAGTGATGCATTCATCGACTTCATCAAATAGTACACTTAAGATTTGTGTGTTTCACTAAATATTGAACTCTAGTGATTGATTTGCATGTTAAGGTGTCAAAGTGAAATGTACCTAATGTTTGCAACTTACCCTGAAATACATACAAAACAAGATGCATTGATGATGTTCAAGAGGGATGGATAGATGTGTGATAAAGCAAATGGAGAAAAATGATAATTATAGACTCCAGATGGTGGGCCCATGGGTGTTCACTATAAGATACTTTAAACTTTTAGGTAGGCTTGAAATTTTTCACAAGAAAATGAGGGGGAGAAATTGGTGTTCCCCAGGCTTCTGTCACTTCCTTTACTTCCCTCTCCCAAATTTTGTTTATATTCTAGGGAGAGATCTGGGCTACAGACCCATCTCTTTGATTGTTTCCTGCACATCTCCACCCCCAGGAAATTCAAACCCAACCTTTTCCTGAAGTTAATGTGCTAGATTATTCAAATTGGAAACCAAGGCATCATTCCAGATTCCTCCCTCTTCCTGTTCATATCCTACACCCTGAGATATCCCCACTGCCCATCCTTTTTCCCATCTTCATCAACTCTTACAAGGACAATACCAACACTTTCCCCGTGAGTGCCAGACTACAAATCTGATGATTCAAAATTCAACAGTTCCCCATTCACTTCAAGGGCACAAGCCAAACTGCTCAGCAAAAGGCCTTTCATGGTCATCATTTGACTCTTCCTTTACAGAGTCATATTTTGCTGTTC